ATCAGCTGCGGATCTGCTCGCCTAAGCGGAGCCCGTTCGCGACGTTTCGCTCTCCGTCTGTGCCGCGCGCGTACACTTGCTACAGTTTCGCTCCAAAAAGCTTTCGATATAAAAACTCATCTTTCCTTTCTCGTGTTAGTAAATAAATAAAATATCTAAACGTATATATAATTTAGCAAATAAAGAAAGAAATAATCGAAGTTGAATCGAGATATATCTAAATAGAAGAAAAGTGACTTAGACGTTGTTGAAGCCAAATCTTGTTGAGTGAATTACAGTGAATCTCGACATCGAAACTGAAGAGAACAGAGCCACGCAACGACGTCGAGCGGTTGTTCTTCATGGTAAGCGGTTGGATTGTTCGATGAAATGGGAAAACGGAAGGCAAAGGCCGGCCCTGTGCTCCACAGGTGGTAGTTCGATTATTTCGTGATCGTTGTTCACGATCAAAGCTTCGCCGAAGAGTGCACCCTGGTCGAGTGAAAGTAGCTTGATCTGGTCAGCCGGCTGATCCTCGGTAAATCCGTAGCCGTTAACATAATCGTTGCAATACGTTTGGGCGGTCGTGGCTCGAGTTATGGCAGTGAAGATGTCAGTTTCTACGGTTCCGTGCGGCTTTTTTCTAATTATCCATGGAAATAGATGACACGGTGAACGAATAGGATTGTTAGAAAGATACGTCAAAATTTTCGTCGATCTCGTTGCTGGTGGACGATTTGCTTAAATTGCAAATTCAGTGGAACGATCGTTCTTCGTTTACTGTCCACGTTGGACTATTTCAATTGATCGGATATAAAATATAAGAGAACATAAAAAGAATTATTATTCATTGAATCGAACGTACTAAAAGGATACATTAAAAAGCCCACATCAGGGAGGCATTCCTTGATTGAAAAATGCTGGCGGTTGGAATTAAAATGTGTGACGCAACGCAATCGCTATCGTTGCTAGTAGGAAGAAAGCGATAACGATATCTGCCAGATTAACAGCCGCTCTTATCCGTTTCCATTCCGAATAAGTGATACCAAAAATAAAAAGTATTATCGAAGCACACGCTCGTGTCTCCATTCTTAAAACAACTGTGGGGTGTTCTTGCTTTCCCTAGAAAGGCAGAAAATCGTCCTTATTATCTGTATCGGCGTTCATAGCTGTAAGCGTGGTATAATAGTTAGTTATTCCGTCGCAGATAGGAAACATCGCGAAGTGGATGGAAAAACGTGACGCAACTGGACTGGTAATCGAGCGTGAGGCAATTAACTAACGAAGTTACCGTGATTATGCGTTGTCGTTCCCAAGTGCACGGCGAGAAAGAACGATCATGGAAAAGAGAGCAAAAACGTAGGCTGCAAGCGACTTCTGGTTCGACGAGGAATTTCAATTTAACGACCGGTTTTATCGTCCGGTCGATTAATATCGAAGCTGCTGCAGCTTGCCGATAAGCTTAACGACGTTGCTTAGCCCCGGTGATCGACGAAGGCCCACGCTGCGCTATCCGTTAATGAAATAACGATAATTAAACGACGTGTCGCGACCGTGAACGAGTGGAGGAACGAACTCTGACTGGTAACCCTGTTGCTCCACCGATCGAGTTCCCTTCCAATCTATAGCTGGCACTCGAGTTCACCTCGCTGTTTACCTTCAACAGCTGACTGTGTCCAATGGCGTCGACCTGACCAATCATACACACTCATACGTGATCGATATTTCGAAATTGATTTTTTAAACGACCGAGGATCTTGCGTAGATTGGTCAGGATGTTTTCGAATTTGTTTTTGAGGTATTTTGGGGATTAGGGACATTCTCGTGGTTCTTTGAAAGACTCTTTGATAAATAAGAAATTTTGTCGGGTAGAACAATTTTTGGGAATCTTTGGAAATGGTTTCGCTTGGAATATCAGGACTTTTGCGATGGTCAAACGATTACTTTAACGTTAAGGTGTTTTCACGTGGAGGAATAGTTTGAAACGTTTTAGAGTTCTTCGTGAGCTTTCGAGATAGCGTGGAACTTTTCAGATTCTGTTGCAGTAAGCTACGAAATCGTTGGGAATATTTAAAAATACCAAAGGCTCTTATGGCATGTCATGCAACGTTTCAACATATTTTAAGCCATGCTCCAATACCAAAAGAACCTTCGAAATTCCAAGGATTTTGAAACTTGAAATTTCTACGACGTTACAGAACATTTTGGAATACTAAAAGAAGCTTCTCGAAATATCTTATGATAGTGGAGGATCTTTCAAAATCTTTTAAAACATTACGAAATCATTGATAGTATTTCGAAATAAAAGAAATACAAGAAAGCTTTTGAAATATCGAGAATTTATTTTTAACTTTAGCTTGAAGCTTCCATCAAAAAGCAGACCATCGAATAGAACGCTTCTTCGTCCGAACCTTTTAAGCAACGACTTAATTTTCTTAAAGAGATATCATCGAAGAAGAATGGGCGAGAAGTTTGAATAGCTTGTGCACGCTACCCGGACGTAACCTCGTGGCATTTCTAAACGTGAACATCTAACTCGCAGATACGAAGACATTCTCGAAGGGCGCGTTTGGTAACGACAGAATGTTAAACTTATCGATTTAGACGCTCCTTCAAGAACTTCTCATTGGTTAGGAATTTTGTAGCAACTAGTTAGTAAATCGTTTGTTGAGTATCGAAATTGTTTATCTGTTTTGCGGCAAGGTTCTTCGATTGATTTATGAAGATTTTCATCGATAATCATCGATTAAAAGTGGCCATCTATCAGATTAAAATCACTGGGACGATACTTCGTGTTTATCATCTAGAACGATATAGTTCTGAATCTTTCATTGGGTAAACGTTGTATTATCATATTCATTATAGATTTTTGTTCTAAATATATTTTAATATTTTTATAAGGAGAAGACTAGAAATTCTTCTCACACTAGGAAATAGTTTCTAAGCGGTTCTAGTGATCGGAATATTTATAATTTTAATTTCTATATTTTTTTACTGCGTTATCTACATTTCCATACTTTTAAATTTTTATATTCGTAATCTATCCTCCTTTTTTTTTTGCGTGGGAATATCCTCATGGATTCCCC